AAGCTAATATATATAATATTATTATATATAATATATATAATATATATAATATTGTTTTTTGAATGGGAGACAAATTCTCACTGTTAACTAGTTGCTTATTACACTTATTACACTGTAAACACTGTAATTACACTGTAAAAATCATCCTGACAGCATGTTTTAGTTCATTGTGACTCATTAAAAAAGTTAATCATGTCCCAACTCAACTTTATGAGTTTTAACACAAGCTCTATAAACAAACTCAACAGGTTAAATTGCATTAGCTCAAAAAATGAGAGACAACCAGGTTTATATTTTTGTGTGTAGCATGCCTATTATTAATATATTGTCTTTTTTCCACATCCCTAAACCTATCCCTAAATCCAACTATTACATTAACATCTCTAAATAAGCAGCTAATTAGGAGTTTGTTGAGGCAAAAGTCCATGCATTTTTAATTCTGCAGGTTTTCTGTTTTCCTCAGTGTAATATTTAGCTTGTTTCAGGTGTTTGCTGAGCACACAGATGATCTTCTGCACTAGTAAACGTTGAGTTCAGTGTGTTAAATAGCTGTAAACAGCGTGCAGGTGTTCAGCGATCTGCATTTTAATATTTCAGTGAGATTAATGAATGCATGTGGGAGGGAAGCGAAATCTGTGCAATTTTGAGTGAGTAAAAGACTAAAAATAAAAGACTAAAAACATTTTCAGTTCGGTTTACTGCTTCAAATTAAATTTTTGGCTTTGTGTTTATGGTAGCAAAATCAATTCATGAGGTAAAGAATATCTTAAATGCTAATCAATAGGACTGTGAATCATTTCACTATATAGCTAGACAATTACCTTTCAACAAATAAATAAAACACCAAACAATCTATAAAATACATATGCATGCATTAGCGCAAACGATATCAGGATAATACCTATTTACATTAAATAAAATCACAAGAACTTGTTTTTGATAAATGTAGAGGAAAAACAACTCTTCATGAAGAGAATTACTATGATAACAAATATCAAATGTATGAAAATACTCTAAAAAAACATTAATTTAGTTAAAAATACTTTATTTTATATGTTTAATTAATGAAATAGTAATTTCTCTAACACTTTAACAGTGTTAATCGAATATTTCGATCAAATCAAAGAAGATGCATTACACGCAAGTATACATTATGTAAGAAAATATCCAGGTATAATATCTAAAGCCAAGCACACATTATTAATATGACATCGAGGAGAGTGTGTAGGCATGATTTAGTTTCCTCTGCATGCTCTGTAGTTTCCTTTTATCTTATAAATGACAAATGTCGGAATTTCTGTGCATTTAATGAAGGATTTACTCTGAAAATAAAGGATCAGAGATAATGATTGCATAAATTAAAATACTAAAATTGCGATAAAATGAGAAAGAGGACTTTCTGATGTCTCTCCTGATTTATTTCGTTAATAATCCGACAGAAAATTCTCGCATTATTAAATTACATCATAATTATGTTACTGAGAAGCCTCGAATAGATTTCTAAATGCACTTCATTTATTTTGAACCACAGTCCGCATTTAAAAGGTAGAAAAATATATGTAATTCGCTTTTATTGTTAATACCCAAAGCCTATATATTTTAAGATATATGTCGGGCGCTTGCGTATTTTGATGTTCGTATTTTTTAAAGAAATCTACGGATATAATTCACATTATTATGATCTGAGAATGACCTAAAGCATGTCCGAGTGTTAATGACGTCACGTGTTATTAAGTAAAACCTGTATATTAACAAATATATGCATTTATTTTTCAATCGCGTAAAACATTCGACTATTAGGCTATTTATTTAGTCTATTTTCAGTATTTTAGAGGGAAACCCTAAAAACTTAAAAGTTGGTAAGTTATTTAAAACGAAAGTCTTCATTTTTTAAGTAATTAATACAAATGTTAATGCCAGCATTCATATGTGTGTTCAGCTTTTTAGTTTCTCAAAGATTAAACCTACTGCGGTTGAATCTAAAATGCTGTGCGCGGTTATTTTAAACGAAATATTAGCGTTTATTTGTCTTTTAATCATGTATGCAACAAGACTGGGGTGATGAAGGTAATTAATTCATTTGCTTTTTAATAGGTTCAGCGCAGAATGACGCAATTTCTCTCTCGGTTTTATTCGGTGTAACACATTTAAAGATTAGTATTAATTCTGAGGCCTTCAGTTTGACGTCTGCATCACGTTATATTGAATTACTTTACAAATGTGGCCTATATTATATTATAAACACATGATATGACGGTCAGATATGTAGTAAATATTTTAAAATATCCGCAATCAGTGTTATTACACTGAAAGATGACTGAATCAAGCATTTCTGAGATCAATCCGCCACATGATTATGAATTCACAATATCAGCTCAACAGTCGCTGTTTTTATTATCGTTTCACCATGACTGAACTGTTTCCACAGGTTATATACAACCTTAAATACTGCAGGCAGCTCGCATTTCAGTATTCATTGTTTAATATATAGCGTTGTGTGTTATGCTGTTGAAAACTCATGCATTCAATAAAGCAAATTAATTTCATTTAAAACAAATGCTGCTTCGTGTCTATTTGAAAAGAAAAATATTCTTT